GGCTTTCCCCTAATAACGTGTTTAGTAAGGAGTTTGCCTAGGGCAAAGACCTTAGGGAGCAACGACGAGACTGACCCCTTCTCACTCACCAGGTGCATAGAGGGGAAGAGGACGCATCCATCAAGAGGAGATTACCCCGAGGAGAGCAGCCGCGGCTAACCTGAAGATGTCAACTGGATCTGGGTAACGAGAGGGGGCCTCTCATTATATTTGTCTTTTGTTTCATGTCTTATTGAGTATACTGGGAAACTCAGGAATTGTGTTTTATGTTTTGTTGTTCTGGATTGAGGTCGCTCAAGTATTTAGGGCATTTCACTTGAAAATCTTAAGCATTGTGGTTGTTGATTTTTGGTTTTGACTTGTAAACCGTTTTGGGTTGCTCCGGAGTAACCGGTTTTTGGGTTTGAGTTATGGTTTGGTTTTTGAAAAGAGACGGGATGTGTCATTTTTGTATCAGAGCCTGGTTTTCCTCTGTTTCTTGTTCTCCAAGGAATACTGGAGTGACGATCTGAGTTTTCAAAGGTTTAGTTTTAAAGGGGAAAAAAGGGAACTTTCAAAAAAAAAATGGTTGGCCAACCGATTTGAAAAGGGTTATAGAGTCCCCAGTATACTCGAGCATGATAAGACATTAATGTGGTTCTAATAAGGGTACTACTTACTTGCAGAGCAAGTAACGCCAATGTTAACCACGCGGTGGTTAGGCAACCCCCGAATTATGAGGCTTTTCGGAGGCGAGGAGTGGTTGATTTTGATGGGGACCGCTCGAAGGATGCTAGTGAAGTAGAGAAATGGTTGGCGAAGGTCTCGCGCACATTGACTGAAATGAGGGCAGATGATGAGGATCGGGTGCTACTGACAGTATCCCTGTTCCAGGATTCAGCATACAATTGGTGGTGCAACCTTCCAGCTAGTCAGGAAGACCCACCAGCTATCACTTGGCCAGAGTTGGTGCGGGTGTTTCGGGATCACTATGTACTAGAGGCCTATCGACTGAGCAAAAAGAGGGAATTTTTGCTGATCAAGCAAGGATGGGGCAATGAAGGAGAGGAGGGTGTTGCAGAGTACACCTCCAGGTTCGAGAAGCTGCTGCCCTATGGGGGACCACAGTTCCAGGATGCGGCATCTCAACGTGCCCACTATTTGGAGAGTCTGAAGCCTGCCCTTAAGAAGCAGTTGAGCATACTGGCATGAAATAGTCGGGAGGAGATTTATCAGGCGGCTCTTCGGATAGAGAGGGCTGACACAGCTGTGCATGAAGAAGGGATACAGCGAGAGGGAAGCAAGAGAAAGGTAAGTAGCATGCCAGAGTTGTCCGGCCAGCCCAGTCAGTACAGAAGGAGGCTGAGCGGTACCGTTAGTCTTGGGGGTACTCAGAGTCAAACCGGCTCGGTCCAGCCTGGTCAAACTTTCAGCAACAAAGGTCTCTGCAATCAATGTGGGCGAGATCACTTAGGGGAGTGTAGGCAGCCCCCCAAGGTCTGCTATAACTGTAACGAGCTTGGGCATTTCGCTAGAGAATGCCCCTAGAGAGGCGGACAAGGGATGGCTCGGTCCGAGCAGTCTGTCCGGAGTAGTGGAGCGAGGACTCACGCAGGACCACGGTTTGGCGGCCAACCAAACCGCTCTTTCCAGAGTCAGGGAGGACGCACTGGGCGCTTCAACCGCACCGATCAGGACAGAGACCAGGGGCCTCCAGCAGGAGGACAACCGAGGGTTTTTGCCAAGCGAGGGATAGAGGGTGATCGTGGTGATGATGGAGGGGACGAGTAAGCACATTGATGTGATCATGTGAAGTAGTGGGGAGATTGTGGAGAAGGAGTATTTGCTTTAAGCATAGACTGCTAGTTGGTTGTTTTATTCGAAAGATGCACTTTCAGTTTTAGTACTCGGTACCAAACCTATTAAATAAGTTCGGAACAAAATTTCGAGGTCGAAATTTTTTTTGAGGGGGAAGGAAATGTTATATTCGTGCTTGAGAAGTTTTAGTCAAACACCAAAAGTTTTAGACTAAGTAATTATCTTTCCGGTTCCAATTTTCGGGGACGAAATTTTTGTAAGGGTGGAGGAAATGTAACACCCCGGTTTTTTTTAGAGTTAGGTTCGACTTTAAAACGTGATCGGTTGGATTGACGGTTGCGTACTAAGTGTTACAATCGCGGATTAAGAATAATAATATTATAAAATTATTATTTGTTATAATAATATTATTATAACATTATTTATTAAAAAAAATAGAACAAAGTAGGGCGGCCCAAGGAGGTGGGCGCCTCCACTTCCCCCTCCCAATTAATTCCTCCCTCCCATTTATTAATTGCCGAGCAGAACAAAAAACCCTACCCCCTCTTAATTTCCCAAATCCCCAAATCGCCAGCAGCCGCGAGAAAGAACCCCAAGCCCCCGCCGCCAATCCCCAGCCCCCCGCAGGCGAGAGCAGAAGAAGGAGTTGGTTCCGGCACCCGATCCCAATCCCAATTCCGATCTCGATCCCATCCCTCTCGTGTTCTAGAGGTGACGTTGAGGGTTCGATCAACAAGGAGATCAACGTCCCAGGTCATCCAACCTAGGCCTAGGCACGTTCTAGAGGTTTCCCCAAGATAATCCGGCTAAGGAGGGGTTTCTTCGAGGAAGGAATTGAGGAGTCATCTTTTCGAGGTGAGTGTAAAGGAGGTAAAATCTCTATCGTAGGTCTTTCAGTTTATGCTTTTTTTTCAAGTTATTAATTAGTTAATGTTTGAGTAATGCACGATATTTGTGTGAGGCATCCCACTGCCTGTAAGGGTGGAGGCACGCGTTGTGCTATGTATGAATGTATGGATGCATGATTGTAATAGTTGGTTAATGGTAAGAGGAACCCCCGGGCGGTTGGGCCACTACTGGACGCGGTAGATGGTCGGGTCACTGCTGGACGGCGAGACGTAACGCAGCAGTTGATCGAGTATGTTGGGTCACTACTGGACGGCGAGACGTAACGCAGTAGTTGAAGGGCACGGACTGGACGGCGAGACGTAACGCAGTGCCATTGCCGAGTTTGGGTATGCCATCGGACAGCGAGACGTAACGCGGTTGGCATACTAGGGTAGGGACACCGGACAACGAGACGTAACGCGGTGGCCCTAGTGTTTTGTGTTGAGATAAGGATAGAGGTCGAGAACTTTTATGAGTTAATGTTGAAATGAGTTTATTAGAATGGTTATTTGAGAGCAGAAAGCGAGAACGGCTTTCATGCTAGGAAGGCTTTCCCCTAATAACGTGTTTAGTAAGGAGTTTGCCTAGGGCAAAGACCTTAGAGAGTAACGACGAGACTGACCCCTTCTCACTCACCAGGTGCATAGAGGGGAAGAGGACGCATCCATCAAGAGGAGATTACCCAAGGAGAGCAGCCGCGGCTAACCTGAAGATGTCAACTGGATCTGGGTAATGAGAGGGGACCTCCCATTATATTTGTCTTTTGTTTCATGTCTTATTGAGTATACTGGGAAACTCAGGGATTGTGTTTTATGTTTTGTTGCTCTGGATTGAGGTCGCTCAAGTGTTTAGGGCATTTCACTTGAAAATCTTAAGCATTGTGGTTGTTGATTTTTGGTTTTGACTTGTAAACCATTTTGGGTTGCTCCGGAGTAACCGGTTTTTGGGTTTGAGTTATGGTTTGGTTTTTGAAAAGAGACGGGACGTGTCAGTATTTAAAGGCAAATAAACCTAATAGAACTAGGAAACAGTTACGGTAAAAATCTACTCTAAAAAGGACTCAAAATTCAGATTTAAACTCTCTTTCTTCAAGTGCAAGTAAGCTGCCAGTAAACAATCCAAAAGCAACTTTCGTACTAACTTCGCGCCTTTTGTTCGAGGCCTTCCAGACCTCCAATCCTTCATCCGATTCCTTCCCTTGGTAGATAAACATACCTAGTTTCATATTGTAGAAGCCTTTGGTTTCGAATCAGATCCATGCTCCTTGAACTGAGCTCCAAAGTAGGCTTCACAAAACAGTTTCTAGACTTAACCATTTTCTGGCAGTTTTCCAGTTTTGAGGTAGCAATAAGGATGACAACAAAACCCGAACCCACGGGTACCCACCCGACCCAACCCGGTCAACGCGGGTAAAACCCATGTTGACGGGTTTTGGGCCGGGTTCGGGTTTAAACCCGCTACACTATTCACCGGGACGGGTTGGGTTTGAGTTTAGGTATACCCGCCCCATGGGTACCCGCCCACACACATATAATTACTTTCCCGGTATATTTAATATTCTAAATAATATATCTTCCTTAAACAACTAATATTCTTTATGTTTGTGGAGACATATATAATTTGTTCTTTTCAATTGTTTAAAATGAAGTTGATATTATGAAATGGAGAGTGAAGAAACTTAGTTGATGAGGAAGAAGCTTTCAATTAATCTTATTGTTTATAGATGTTTTTCTTTAATTTTGAACAATTTGCATTTGATCATTTGCGGTTTGCTCGTATGCTCTAGATTGGTGTTTTTCGTATGAATAATTTGTATGAGAAAATTGATGTTAAACTTTTATTTTGAAAGAAACTTGTTATTGTAAATTTTTTACCACAAAAACCCACAGGTACCCATGAACCCGCGGATACCCAGCGGGTTGGGTTGGGTTTGAGTTTTTTCAAACCCAACGGGTTTTACCTCGGGATTTTTTGGCGGATAAACCCATAGGTTTGGGTTTGGGTTTGACAAAACCCGCCCCAACCGGACCCATTGCCATCCCTAGGTAGCAACTTTGAGGCATTGGAAAACAACCTTAATGACATCATATGGATCCAAAAAGCATAACATTGGAAAGATAGAAACTTGATCTGCAAAACAAACCCTTAAACTTGAATTTCCACCAAGCCAATTGAGAGAACCATGCCTCCAAAGTATGTACCCTGAACACGGATTTTGACTTATCCAAATTCTACCCTTCTTCTTCCCAACTTCGTTTGCTCTTCGTCAAGTAAATTAAACGTGTATAATGGCAAAAACCAAAAAGCATAATGACGACACGATGAAAGTTTTATAAAACAAATTAATCGGCCAACGGGCAGAATAAAAGTTAGTAACGATTGTAAGATGCCCATTACATTATCAAATTTCATACTTCACCTTCCTCCTACCAAATGTCCGGAGCTTATTTAGTTACGAGAAGAAGCATTACGGTTTACGGCAGCATTACATACACAGTCAACAAGTAATTGGGGAAAAGTAAAAATGGGTGGCCGGTCGAACCAAACTCCGGTTTCCTTCCATCTGCAAGCCTTCCCTTCCCTTCCCTTCCCCAAAATCGCCACTCAACCTCCTTTTGCTGAGCCATTTCCCTTGCATACAGTTTCAATCTCCACAACCACAAATGACGGTTAAAAACGATGAAATGGATTCTCAAAGTCCAACGATATTCCAAAGTTGATTAATTATACACTTAAATGTAAACTCAATTAAGTTCCCTCCCCCCCCAATTCAATCATCGTCTTCAGGCCCTCGCCGTTGCCGCGATTTGGCCTTCTCGATCGAATCCATCGCTTCCTCGAACGATTTCCCGGTATTCCACCGTTTCCACATCCTCTCGCCGCCGCCGTCGATCATTTTCGCGCCGCCCAACAGACATCCGGCGAACGCCACGTTCAGCAGGAACGCCCTCGTCGTCATGAACCGGATCGCGACCTCCAGCATCGACACTCCGCTGCTGCTCCTCCGCCGCGCACCACCGTCGTATGAATTATACGAGGACGATGACCGGTTGTTGTAGTGGTACTTGCTGCCGGCGTATCCGCCGCCGCCGTGGGGTTGGGCGGTGGAGCGGCGGACGTTGTAATCGGCGCGCTTTCGATCGTCGATGAGGATCTGGTATGCCTCGGAGATCTGCTTGAATCGGTGAGCTGCGCTGTCTCTCACTTGGCTGGAGGATTGGGAATGTTTGTCCGGGTGGAATTGGACAGCAAGCCGCCGGAAGGCTTCCTTTACCTCCGATTTCGTCGCGCTCCGATGAAGTCCCAGCACCTTGTAGTGATCCATCGGAGCTCCGATTGGGGGAAATTTCCAGCTTCCTCTTTCCCTTTTCTTGATAGATTGGAGGGGGGTTTTGATTTGGTTGAACTTTTGTGTTTGAGATTCGCTTACTAAACGACGTCGCTTCATTGAACGGCGTTTACTGCGTCGGCGAGGAACCTTTGGCGCGGTGAATGGTTTGTGTACCCGCCACTGCCACGTTTTATTTTCTTCCACCAAGAAAATGGGATGGATAGGGCCGGCAATAGGGGCTTTCTTTTGCTGGACTTTTTCCTGCTTAAGTGGTCTGGGCCTGGAACAACGCCCTAACCAATGTTCTCGGATTTACTAATCCATAATGGGCTTCAAGAAATACTCTTAAACCCAAATTCCCGCCGTAACCTTCACCGGTTCTTCCATCATTCCCCGTCGGAGTAGCGCCGCAAATCTTTCTCTTTGGGAATCCGCCGGCAAGAGGTGGAAATTTGACATCCTCCACACGCCCTGGTCTCCGGTGAAGAAGGCGTTTCGAATCTCTCTTTCCTCCCGAGGCACGAGAAGTTCCCTTGTCAATCCGAGTTTCCTGCCATGGCGGATTTCCAGACCTCGACTCACCGCGCCAAGTGGATCTTCACTCCTCAACAGCTAGTGAGTAGTAACCTTTCTTCCTCCTCCGAGGCATTTTCTTCTTACAAACATGATATGAGATATGTTGTTTGCCTGAGTCGGTAGATTACTTGAAATTATGTAGTTTCAATGGCGGAATGAAGCTTTACAATGCGAACGGATTTTTAGGTTTTTTGCTTTTTCCCCTCTTCCTGTAATGAGTCGTTTCCCTGTTTTGATTTAAGGTTGACAAGTACAGGACCACGAACCAAAGGGCCAAGCAAATGCTGGAGAAGGTGTGTAGTAGCTACGACCTTTCCCCTTAGACTGAGTTATGTAGTTGGTTTGCCATGGAACTAATGCTTATGCTAATTTGTTCTTGTTTGTTTGTTTGTCTGTTTGTTGGGTTCTATTTGAAGTGTGGAACTACAAAAATGGAAGTAGATGCTGATGGGTCAGTGACTTACCCTGAACCTCAAGCTACAGAAAACAGTTAGTGCATCCCCTTCTCGGCGGGTTTATTAGTAGACGCACATGCTATTGGGCTTTTTCTGATGAGTTCAACTACGGCTTTGGCAGGTGATAAGCATTCTCGTCCGAAATCCCTTAGTTGCGAGGAAGAAGAGTTTATGCGTGTATATTATGAGTTTAAGCTTCGCGAAGTATGTGGCGCCTTCTACTTTCCTCATAAAATTCAGGTATGGAGAGTTCTGCTATGGAAGCCGGAGATTGGCATCAATGCAATGCAGAATTATTAGTATGCCCAGACAACTTATGTGGGGGGTTTTGTTTGTGTTTTGCAGGCAACAGCACTTACATATTTCAAGAGGTTTTATCTTCAATGGTCTGTCATGGAACATGATCCCAAGCACATAATGTATGGATCCACTTCGATTTCATTCGAACTTTCCCCTTAACGTTGCAGAGTGAATTCGGTGGTAGATGCTAAACTATCTAATGGTTGGTAGAAAGACCATGATGGTTTAGGTGCTATCTTGAAAACCTTCATGGCCTAGTCCCGTGGTGGGGTTTCTTTTAGTGTGGCTTACTTCCTGCAGTATTGGGGGACGCTCTCTATTTTGCGGCCATACCATTTCTGTTGTTTGCTGATATATATCAATCTTACCAATGGCATTGCATATGTGAAGGTTAACATGCATATATTCAGCATGTAAGATAGAAGAAAATCATGTATCAGCTGAGGAGCTTGGTAAGGGGATTTCACAGGATCATCAAATGATACTGAATTATGAGATGATAGTTCTTCAGGCATGAGTTACTGCTTTTATTATTATTATTATTATTCCAGCTTTGGTTACTTACTATCCATGAATTTTTAGTTATAATTCATCTTTGCGATGCAGAGTTTGGAATTTGACCTTATTGTTTATGCACCTTACCGTCCAGTCGAAGGTTTTATACATGATATTGAGGTAAGGTTTGGTGCACTTATGTTTCTAACCCCCTTGGTGCAAACACTAATTTTTTTCTTCTTCGCTTTCCTGTAGAAGTTTCAAGTTTGTATTGACACACTGGAAATTATATCAATTTCAGTTTAATTAATTTCTTACTGCTGGTAGTGTTACTGTCTCTTCCGTAGGATTCTTCCCATGCGGCAGAGGACCAAATTCAGATGTTCAAGGTAATCACACACATTTACAGCCAGCTTATTATTATTACAACAGCCATTATCGTGCTCATTCTTTTAATCAGGTCTATATGTGATTTTGTAGGACAGTGCAACAGCCGAGGTTGACAAAATCATGCTTACCAATGCACCGCTTTTGTTCACTCCAGGGCAGGTATTTGTTCATCATTCAGAACATGTTATTGCAAATACATGTAACCCCATATTCCGTCTTATCTCGATTCTCTATATGTAATGCAGTTGGCACTAGCTGCTCTGCGAAATGCAAACGAGGTGCTTGGGGTTGTTGATTTTGACAGGTTTGTAACTATGTCTCATTTCCTTCTGTATATTTTCCCAATGGATATCTTTTTCACTGATGCTGATATGATCAGTAAAAGTTTATTAAGAATACAACCCTATTGACTTAGTGCTTGTTTGCAGTTACCTTCAGAACATTCTCTTACGTCAGAGCTCCGAGCACACAGTTCCAGAGCTTATTAACATTCTAGATTCCATAGACTCTTGGGTATGCATCTCAGAACTTATGTATTTGGATAATCTAAAAACTTAGGGAAGAAAATACAAGACATCTACGGCATCCCTCCGATCTGAAAAAAATTGTGAAATAGAGTTCATTTCCTTAATTGTGAGAAGTATTCCAGACACAAAGTTGAAATGAAATTCTTGAATAAGATTTCTTATGAAATTGTGTTCTTTTCCAGGTAAAGAAGTACAAGTTCCCTACAGAGAGGGATATGAAGCACATCAACCGCAAGTTGAAGTCATGTTGGGGCCACGGTTCACACGACGAGTAACTTTCTTTTAACCCCTTCCTCTCAAATCATACCTTAAAGTTTATTAACTACCTTCTGGCTTGCTCCATTCCTGATGTTTTCTTAGCTTCTGGCAAACAGTAAAAAACGGGAGAAGAAATCAAAGCACAAGTCTCACAGGAGTTCACACGACTCCAGAAATGCTCCAGCTCCTGTGTAGTTGGTTGCGGTACTGGGTCTGAAACTGTACTGAAAGAGCAGACATGCGATGAAAGTTCCTTCTATGAGGAGTGGTTTATGTTTTTAATAGCCACCGACAATAATATATACTCGAATTGCTTGTTCCTATGAAATTTTTGGATATTCATGAAATGTATGTGAAGAGTTCTAGGTTATAAAAGATTCAGAGTTTCAGACCCAAGAAAGAGCTTTGCAATACACTAAAACTAATGATATTCAGATTCACAACAGCCTTTTGATTTGAGTTGTGAAGTATAAGAGGGGAGGAAAACAGCAAGACTCTACCAAACAATGGACAATTGACAGAACATAAAGAGATTTAGTGAATGGTTTTCAGATAGCTCTAGGAGGCTTCTCCATCAAGGCAGAGAGATAGACTTCACTCTCAGACTTGGGAACAACAGCCCACCTATGTTTCTTATACCTAAACTGCAACAACATATACATGTAATCATCCAAATCCTTCCTAAGGCAAAAAAACCTGTCGATCCACAGCAATCCTCCCGGCCTCAGGATTCGATCCCAATCGAACAGTATGAAATCCAGCAGCAGCATATCCATCCACCCGTCAATAAGCCCCGTGGTATGGATCAAATCTATGGTGTTGTCGAAGAAGGGAAGCCTTTGGTTCAGTGTCATATACAGAGGGATCAACCCTCTCAAAGCAATCGTCTCACTGAATGGAGCTCCAAGGTTTAGAGAAGTTGAGACAATGGTCACATTGTGTTCCCTCATCCTGGCAGCGAACGAACCGGTTCCTATGCCGAAATCCAGACCAATTCGGAGTTGGCCAGGCTTGATTGCCAGCATGTCTCTAATCAGGAAATCAACTGGGAGTGATGAGTTGACAACCCACTTTAGCTTCTCCTTCTCCATATCAAAACAACCTGTGACGAGATAGGGGCATACTGAATTCCAAAATGGCTCAAACCACACCAACCGAATTACAAAGTGAAATCATACTAACATCTCTACCTTACCTGTGCATTTCGAGTAACCCCTTTTGGGATTCTTGCTGGACAAGCAACCGAAGTTTCTGCATTGATAATTGTTCCATCTCACATTCCCATCCTCCGGCGTTCTCCACAGGGACTCATTAATAGGGAATGGCTTGTTATACACCTTGGACGCTCTTGTCAAGCAACGCCTCCTCGGCAGAGGATCACACCCACCAACCATCAGCTTCTGAGCAAGGTTCCAATCATCTTTACAGTATGATCCAATGTCGTAATCCATGTACTCTTCCAGTTCCTTCTTCATCAAGGCACACGAATGGCCTATCGTGTTGTGAACACTCTTGGTTCCATAGATGTTCATCTTCCCAATCCTGTTCTCCTTGGGAGTAATGTACTTCCTGATCTCTTCAGTGATGAACGCATTGATCAAAGGAGGCTCCTTGATCGAAATCGTCGAAGAGTTTGGATCCAGGTTCGGGAACCTGATCTGCCTTAGAGCAATATGGGCAGAGTAGAGAGGCTTGATCACTTGTTGTTCCAAGAACCTCTTGTGATCCAATTTTGACATGGTGGTTTTGCCCAAGTCTTCATGAGCTTTGTCCATCTGTTTGACCGACCTCTCGAGGCTTTGTTGTAGTTCAGACATTTGGTCGAGCACTTCATCTACACGATCCTTGAGTGCCCTGATGTCGAATCCTTCGCTGAAGGATTCGGTCCTTCCGGTGTAAAGATGGCGGCAGATATCTTCGTTGTGGAGGAAGAAACCAGCGTTGTAGAACTTGTACAGACTTGCCAAGCTCACTAGGATCACTAGCCCTCCGAGTAGGATTTGCAGCCATGCCATGATTTTTGCCACTCTACATTTCGGAAAGCAGAAGCAGAACCTCCCCATTTCTGCAACCAAAATCTCCCAATTAATCTAATCACATATTCAGATTCAAAGTTAGGTCAATTTAAGATTGAAGTTACTGCCTTTGGAATCGAAACAGGGGCAAAAACAGAGCATGTGTACTTCAGATTTTCGATCTCACATTTTCCCAGTAACCAATCAAC